CATGCAATTAGCAAAAGTAGTAACCTTAAAATATTTATAATAGAAGATAAGTTATTAACTATAGAACGAGTGTTGGCAATACAAATTATATTGATTAATTAATACAAATTATAACAAAAAAAAATATATATGCATATTTCAAATAAATATTACAAATAACTGGTCTAATCATATTTTAACAAGAATATTTGACCTTGACTGCATTATAGACTTACGCAGAATTAGCGGATATCACCAAATTTGAGTGTAACCTTGATTTTGGCAAAACAATTACAAACGAAATCCCAAAGTCAATTTGGTTCAAGACATTTAATGGCTCCTTATGTCAAATGTTGTAAAAAACTTGAACAACTTAAATTGCCCAAAGAAGGTGTACCCGTTCTGACATAAGCTCGAAAACAAAGCGGAGGAGAAAGTTACACAAAAAAAAAAATATATATATAAAAAAAAAATAAATAAATAAACAAATTCGCATTGTAAATACTCACTGATGACAACAGAAATATTTATCAAGACTTGCCTGATATTTACCAGAATTGCACCCTCGTAATACGGCAATTAAGTCGTCATTTAAAACTTCATGTAGCCGAAGCAATTTATCACCGCTGCAAGCGCATACTTGACAAATTGTTCATAATAATTGGCAAGGAAGTGCCGATGCCGATGTCGATCAAGCGTGCAATTTGACGCCAGGCGTACGTGCAACGAAACATGATCAATGCTTGCAAGCAACGTAACAACAAAAACTGCAAGTGCCTTGTTGTAAAAGAAATAAAGAACGCAAGAATTTATTTATGTTGGAATTTTCACATGCAATCAGCTTACTAGTACCATTTATAGCATAGTCTGGCATAGGAAGGAACCTTTTCAAGGCCTTCGCGCAAGCGTACGTGAAGTTTTGCACGTAGGCCACCACATCTGGCCAAGCTGTTGGCCACACTAATCCTAGAAAACGAGATTACAACTACAACAACACATAGCAAATATTCATAACAAATATTCGTACAAATGTACAAATAAATGCGCAAAAATGGTTATCTAAATTTTGCTACTGTACGCGAAAGACCACTCTAATACTAGTACTGTGTCGAGGTAAATACAATACTTTTGTTACTAGAGTTGTTACTTTTCTCTCAAAAATCGCTTTTTATACACTATTTACATTAAATTTAGCATGTAAATGTGGCCAGATTAAAATATATTGCTACAATGTAAGCTTAATTAGTTGAGCGGACGGACAGAACGACATGCGGTTAGATTTTAGCCGCTTCTTCCTGTTCTGTTACCAACTCAGCGTTTTGGCAATAGTAATAGTTTATTTATTTTTTAAATATGTAAATACTATTTTTTTGTTTAAGAATAAATAACAAATTAGTCAAATTAATTTTAATTAAAAAGCAGCTTGTGTGCAAATACATATGTACATACTTGTATACATATATACATACCTATGTACATATAGACACATACAATATATATACATCAATATACGCGTACATTGGTATGTATGTGTGTAAATCTGCCCGGTTTGAGTTTTTTTTTATCAAATCTAAATTCTCTTGGTGACCAATTTTTTAGTTGTTACTGGTTTACATAATAAAATAAAAGTACAGACACGTGTAAACATACTATATATGTAGTATGTAGTATATAGTATGTATGTACGTGAATATATAAGACATCAGTTAAATTTCAGTCAGTTCGCTTTCCTAACACTTCTGTCTATTTGGCGGCTTTTGTTTCCACCAGTTTTACAATGTTTCCACGTGACCAAACTTAGGCGAAATTGACGCTTCTCTTGTTTATCATAAATGTGAAAGGTTAATCAATGGTTTAAGTGTTATTTGAAAATTATAAAAATATATTAATTTAAATGTACATAAAAAAGCGTGCAACTGCACTTATTCGAAACTTGATTCGAGTATGACAACAAGCTTCTTTTATTCATACATATGGAATGTATGTATAATAAAACAAGAAAAAACGTTAACTTCGGTGGAATTAAAGCTATAATACCCTTCACAGATAAAAAGGTTCCTTACAATAACTAGATTCCGATCTAATTTCATGACGATGCCTCGTCAAATAAAAAAGTTTTCCATACAGCCACTTTACTCCGATTGTTCAGTTTGTATGGCATCTATATGCTAGAGTGATCCGATATCGGCCGTTCCGACAAATGAGCAGCTTCTTAGTAAGAAAAGGACAGGTGCAAAATTTTAGATCGATAGCTTAAAAACTGAGGGACTAGTTTGCATATATACAGACGGACAGACGGATAGACAGACGGACATGGCTAAATCAACTCAGCTCATCATGCTGATCATTTACTGATGTACCTCTGTTAATATCAAACTGTGGTGTTAGGAATTTTATCCACTTGCAAATCAGATAAAACGAGTTTTTTATGAATTTTTTTTTCAGAAGACGCATTTAATTTAATATTTAAATAACAAGTAATGAAGGGCTAAGTTCGGATATAGCCGAACATTTTATACTCTCGCAAAATTAAACGGTATACTCTTTTTCTAGATTTCTTTATATATATTAATAATAAGAAGAAGGAACTGTTGCCTCAGTTATTTATTGGCTTGAACAGCTTCGTTTCGATTTAGACAATTTTTGGTCATTATGTGGCATACTTTGAATGCATTATTCACGCAAAGTTTTATACCGATACAATCATTGTTACCTGATTTGCATAGCGGAAAGTGAAAGAATCAGATGGAATTGAAAATGGTGTTACATGGGAAGTAAGCGTGGTTGTAGTCCGATTTCGCCCATTTTCGCACTATAACATAGAAACATGAAAAGAACGTTATGCACCGAAATTGGTTGAAATCGGTTAAGCAGATCCCAAGATATGGGTTTTCACCTAAATGTAGGCGGTGCCACGCCCAGTGTCTAGTTTTGAGCGCGGTTCCAATAAAGTCATTTTATATCATCACAGAGATAAAATTTAATGTCTCTGACGTGTTTAGTGCTTGATTTATCGCCCTTTTAGTAGTTTTTAACAATACCGTTATATGGAAAGTGGCCGGTGTCGTCACCCGATTTAACCATTTTCACGCTGTCGATAGACGTGCAAGAAACACTTGTTTTCAGTGAATTTTGTTATTATAGCTTTAGCGGTTTAGGAGATATGCACATTAAACCTATTAGGGGGGGTGGACCACACGCACTTTTTAAAAAAAATTTAACTGCCCCTTCCTAATGTGATCCTATATACCAAATAACAGTCTTGTATCTTATTTCGGAGCTTAGTTATGGCAATTTATTTGTTTTTGATTAATGGCGTTTTGTGGGCGTGGCAGTGGTCCGATTACGTCGATCTGCAATACCAACCGTTTTACGGTACCAAGAACCATGTGTATCAAGTTTCATAAATATATTTCTATTTTTACTCAAGTTAAAGTTAGCACAGGCGGACGAACGGACGGACAGACGGTCAAATCATTTTCATTCATACATTTTCGTACTTTCTGGAGTCTAACTAACATTAAAAAACGCTTCATTGAGTTATTCCCTTCATTGTATAGGTTTTAAATAGATACATACTATAACTTCAGTTGACAGAAGATCAGTAACATAACACGGAGCTATTTAAGGTTGTCTTTTATTATCGTTTCTCGGTTTGAGCCTTACCATATCTTTCCTGATAAAGCACATGTTTAGTTATCTGAAGAAACTAGCTATCTAGGGTTCGGAAAACCCGCTTGTACTATAACGAGAAATTAAGGACTTTTAAATTACGGGCCAAGGTACGTAAACCGGTTTCATCGGGGAAAGATCCATGCTATGCGAACAAACCATTAAAGTTAAACCCCTTAAAGCGTATATCAAGCAAGTTATGCATAATAGAGAATAAGAACAAAAATCCGACAAAGAGATCTCGAGAACTGAGCTGACGTGTTTCATATTATAATAGAATGTTCGTTCTTCGACAGTTTGGAGTGACAGATAAATAAGAAAATCTTGAAAAAGTTAAAGCCATCAGAAAAACCGCCAATGTTCCAAGCTGATATAAGCGACTGGTAAATAATCGAACGATACATGCCGTAATAATCTTAACCCATAACAACATATATACCAATGTATTTTACGTACAATATTTTATTATCGTCTTCAAAGTAGGTTTCTGAGCCAAAACAGGCATGCCAACGCTTAATACAATTTTTCATACACTTATTATTGTACAGTGTCAACGTCATATTCATAAATCCACGTCCCGTCACCAATAATAATGCGTTGAATGAACGGCATGTCAGCTACGTTGTCTACTCTTTTGCGACCTCTTTTGCGACCTCTATTCGACGTCGTTTTTGCAAAAGGTTCATCAACTTTTGATACGAATCTAATATTAACACGCTTTATACCCAAAATATTAACCAAAATGTGTTGAGTCGATCCATTAGAGATGTTGAGATCCTCTGCTATCTCTCTATTTTTCGATGCTATCGTCGTTAACAGAGGTAAGTTTTCGATGATTTCACGACCTTCATTAAATGCGTTGTTCTACTCAAATACTTGTGTTGGTGATAAAGTAAACACCCCAAAACACGTATGTAAGATTTCACCGAAGCCATGGCTCCATTGGAAACACCAAATTTCTAGCAAACTCATTGTTACATTTCTTTCCAATGAAAAGTCGCCTAACAAAGTGTGCGCGTCGTAAAAAAACAGCTGACAGACGGACACTATTTGACACAGGCAGATCACACTTCACACGAACACAAACAATGGTCGTACTAATCTAGGGAAAAAAATGTATCGATTATGTTAGCGCGCGCAGTTTTATTGTACCAATCTGGGTCAAATTTAATCAGATGGTAAAATATTACTGTTTTGAATTTGTCCACTAATGAAAATCGTTTTTATATTTTTTAAGTCAGTTGTTCCAGAGGCCTATATAAGGACACCATGCCTCTCTCTTGTACTGAAGATATTGAGGACAGACAATTTAACAAAAATTTGCAGACTTTTAATAAAAGACCAGTAAATATTTTTTAACGTTTAGTAATTTAATTTGATATATTTTTTTATTGTACATCAAAATTTCGTTCACAAATGAACACACTTACTTACTAATAAAAATAATTTTAGTAATATAAATTTGCATTGTGATTGAGAATGTTGCCTTAACTGACTAATTGTAAATCATTTGCAGCACAATTATCTCGCTTGTGTGTTTACATAGTACAAAAAATGTTTCATAAATTTAAGATTCTTACAAGCTGGTACTAGAATATCTTTTACTTGTGACGCATTTGTCATATTTTCGCTTAAAAACCTATTTATTTATTCCAAAGTGCTTGAATGTGCATTCCACTTAACCCGACAAAAAACGAATGACATACATATCTTACCCGGCTTTTGTTTCTAGATAATTATGCAAATATAATTTATATAATGTATGTATAAGTATGTATATCTATGTATAAACGGAACACCCATTATTTATTATAAGCACATATTTATGCCAATACATACATACTATATGTATGTGACATATGCACTTACTTACGCATTATGAAAAAAAATTAAATAAACAGCCACACGTCCATATTTTTAGGAGCTCTGACGTCTCACGCTCACTTACACCCAGTCCATAGTTAGCATTTTAATCACCAACTACTAACTGAATTCTACGTTTGCACTTTCTTCTTCAAATTCTCATTCTCATCTAGCTTTGTGCTCTCCGTGCTGCTCGACTCAGCATCGGATGCGTCAAATTCAGGATCGGGTATCTCCGCATAATGAAAATGTCCAACCGATGGTGTTTCAGTTGACCTATCTGTCGTGGGGTGTGTGCCATCACCATATTTGTCAATAACGCGACGCACTAAATCCTTCGACGGTTCCTTCATATCCCAAGCCCAACCAATACGATGGAAGGCATCTAAAATCATTGTGGTGAAGTTGCCAAAATAGTTACCAAGTTCAGCTGCTTTGTAGTCCCAGGGAAAAACATGGTGATAGTTGTGCCAGCCTTCACCCATGGCAATGATAGAGACGTAAATGTTCTCAGTGGGTCTGATGCGACTGTTAAAAGAAAAGGAGTAAAAGTTAATTAATAGGGAGTAACTAAAATCAGATAACAGGATTTTATCATATAAATAAATAAAAAATTTCTACTTACTTATCATACGGCCGTGTGCCGAACATGTGAGCGGCGCTATTCACCGACCATGTGAAGTTCAAACTGCTAACATAACGGAAGAGACATTGTGTAATGAAGGCCAAATGGAATTCCTCACCCCAAAAGTAGATTGGCACCATGGTGGGCAATACAAAGCAGAGCATTATTTTCAAGGGTATAAAGTATTTCTGATGGAACTGCACAACAGGATCGTTCATTACATCGCTCAAATCCAGCTGACGGCCGCGACGTAAAACTTCTGGATGCTTCAGCATCATAAGCCAGCCGACGTGAGCGAAAAAGAAACCACGATTCGAGTTGTGTGGATCAGCATCGGTTTCCGAGTATTTGTGATGTACACGATGATCACGCACCCAATCGTAGAGCGTATTCTGAAAAGCGAAAAAAAGAAGAAACAAAGAAAAAACAAAGGCGTGAAGTCAAGATTTCTTTGTAAGCGATTTCATATGGAAATAATAGGAGTTTTAGACAAGTGTTTAATTTAGTCAATTAGCGAATTTCGCATATATTACCAATAGAGTAAATTTACTAATTTTATAAATTAAGCGTCTGCTGTAAACTTCCATAGAAAATATGCAACTTTTAAACAAAAATTTTAAATTTTTTATGGCATAACTGAATGTTTCAGTAAATGGCTGTTTACACAACACACACTTAATTAAAATATTTCTGAGGACTTCAAACTTATGTGAATGTACTTAAATATTTTACAAGGTGCCAAGCCCTATTGAGGTGTAAAAATATTTATTTTTATTACAACTATAAATTGTTAAAAAGATTGACGCAAAGATATGCAAATTGGATTTACAGTATGCCCCACTTAATTGCTCTACAAAAAGTTGATGAATTTTTGAAAATTTTCAAACTTTTTTTTTCTGATAGAGCAAGATTGAGGGATTAATAATGTATATCAATATATCCTAAAATAGTTTAGTAATCTTTTATTATTACATACATTATTAAGCCAACGGTTAAGTATTCATCAAAAATTAAGTGTAATTACCTCAAATTGACTCAATAATGTGACGAAATTCAGACTAGTGATTTAAATAACCTGAAAAATGTAATAACTGCGTACTAATTACGCAGGGAATACTATACCAAAAACAATTTCCATGGTCATGTATTGTACAATATATTCATGGTTAGTAATTTAACAAAAAAAATTAGTCATTTTAGGATATACTTGTATAGAATACAATTAGCTACTTTGTGTTAATATGGAGACTTTTAAAATAACTTCAGTTCAAATGTATAGAGAGAAACTGTTTTTTAGTTAATTTTGAGACATAATACACACATTTAATAACGCGTACGTGTACTTTATGTATGAATAAGTAAATATAAATGTGTGCTCACATGAATAGCAATGACACTTTAGGCATAATTAAAAAATGTTAGTTAATGCATTCAAAATTGGCAATAAAATCGGCATGCACAAGCAATGCCGGCTAATTAAAAGCTTAATTAACCCTGTTAATGGCTTGCTTTAACACATTTTCTTAACAATTTCAATTCATTATAAGTAACACACATGTCTTTCTTATAAAACACACTTAAACCGGAAATATAGTGCTGACGGTAATTGATAAACACGCTAACAAACATGCGAACAATAGACAATGCACTCGTCTAAGGTACAGTGAGTGATTGTAATCTGTTAGTAATGCAGGTTAATTACTTAATTTACTACTGGTATTTCATTACCTGCCCGGCCACCGAGAAGCAAAGCATCAATATGCTACGTAACGGTACATTGGCCTTGAAGGAACGATGTGTCCAAAAGCGATGAGCACCAGCAGTTACGCCAAAACCAGCAACGCCGCCCATAAAGAAGGCTGTAATCGATAAGAGAGGGAAAGAGAGAAATTATTAGTAATAATTATTTATGTACATGTGTTAAGGTTTGATTACATAAATTTTGCTTAACTTAATATTATTGACATAATGCTTTTTGAGGAATGACTTTCGGAAAACGATAGAGAAGTAAATATATAAAGTAATATTATAAATTTGTACATAAACAAGTACTTATATTTATATAAAAATATAGATATTAGGAATACCTTTATTCTATACCTCTAAAAATCCATCAGTTTATCTTCATATGCTTTTTCTCAAAATAACATTTATCAAATTTGCTTGAGTGATTACTCGGACACAAATGATCCGATCACTATCAAATTTTTTGCATGATCAAAAATCGAATTTTTTGTGTTCTTTAAAAATTTTTTATGCATTTTTAAAATATGTGTAAATATATCCTTACAATTTTAAAAGACTTAATAGGGTAAGTAGGCTCTACTAATTCCCAAATTCACCTTATGTTCTTACACACAAGTTGTGCTCCTTAAATGGGTTTTATACCCGTAACAGGGGGACACTGAAATTTTTTAACTGTCCTTTTCTCACCAAGAAGCTGCTCATTTATTGGAACGGGTTACTATAGCATAGAGCTGTCATATAAACTGAAGGATCGGAATGAAGTGCTTGTATGGAAAGCTATTTCATTTGACGAGACATCTTAGATAAATTTGGCATAGATTATTGTCCTAGACAACGATGCAATTTCCAAAGAAATTGAAAGATCCTTTCTGGACGATTTTCATTATAATGGCATTATCCGAATAAGAATCTGAACTAAATTCATTGTTTTATATGTATATATACATGTAATTAAGATTTCTTCACTGAAAATAAACCTATTACAAAAAGTATGCTTCGATCTCTAACGACTTTAGATGTTTTTTAAAAGCATATTTGATGGAATATTGAGAGCTAAAAATATATTGTGCCAATGATTTGGGAGGTTTTACTTTATTATATTTTTTCTTATTTATAAAACTTTGCTTGAATTGTTGTTTATACAAATCAATTGATGGTTATTCGGTTTCTGAGAAACTGTTTCAGTTATCGAAGAAGGAAACGATTTTTGATACAACTTCCCAATGAGTGATTGGCATACTTTGTGCGCCTCTTTGTAGGCGCCACTATATCGAATCATGTCCGTAGCTTGAAATTTTAGCACTTGTTACGACCGTTTGAACTTTACGATCCATTTAAATAATTCTATCTTATTTCTTTTCTATAATGCAACAACATCAATTGATGGATGACCTTTATACAATTTTGTATTAAGATCCACTTTTAAATTCGGCAAACTAATCAGGAACATTATATATTAACATATATTATAAACCTCAACGTTACCGGAAATCAAAAACAAGAACACAGTAGAAAAGTTCTATGACTGGGTATCTTTAGTAGAAAGTGAAAGCAGTTTCAACTCATCTATTACAAAGGTTTTCTTAATCTATTCCACATTATTCGATGTTCATTTCTATGATCATATGTTCATTGACATTAACCCACTATACCGTATGGGCATTAATCAAGTTCAGATCAAACAAAACTCTATTCTTGTTTTAGACACATCAGAATCCAAACCGAAGTTCGTTGAGTGGTTGTTTCTCGGTCGACCCAAAACCCTAAAATACATTGTCGACAAGGCTTTCCCAGTAATTTTTTGGAAAACTATCAAGAAAAAAATCTAACTTACATTATTGGATTCATCGAACGTCGAGATCATAGTTAGTCCAAATTACCAGATCTAGGTCTTTTCACTACATGTGATATAGAGACAGGGTCTTGTCTATCGAGAGATTCTCATGCAATTAGCAAAAGTAGTAACCTAAAATATTTATAATAGAAGATAAGTTATTACTATAGAACGAGTGTTGGCAATACAAATTATATCGATTAATTAATACAAATTATAACAAAAAAAATATATATGCATATTTCAAAAAAATATTACAAATAACTGGTCTAATCATATTTTAACAAGAATATTTGACCTTGACTGCATTAGGACTTACGCAGAATTAGCGGATATCACCAAATTTGAGTGTAACCTTGATTTTGGCAAAACAATTACAAACGAAATCCCAAAGTCAATTTGGTTCAAGACATTTAATGGCTCCTTATGTCAAATGTTTGTAAAAACTTGAACAACTTAAATTGCCCAAAGAAGGTGTACCCGTTCTGACCAAGCTCGAAAACAAAGCGGAGGAGAAAGTTACAAAAATATATATATAAAAATAAATAAATAAACAAATTCGCATTGCAAACACTCACTGATGACAACAGAAATATTTATCAAGACTTGCCTGATATTTACCAGAATTGCACCTCGTAATACGGCAATTAAGTCGTCATTTAAAACTTCATGTAGCCGAAGCAATTTATCACCGCTGCAAGCGCATACTGACAAATTGTTCATAATAATTGGCAGGAAGTGCCGATGCCGATGTCGATCAAGCGTGCAATTTGACGCCAGGCGTACGTGCAACGAAACATGATCAATGCTTGCAAGCAACGTAACAACAAAAACGCAAGTGCCCTGTTGTAAAGAAAAAAGAACGCAAGAATTCATTTATGTTGGAATTTTCACATGCAATCAGCTTACTAGTACCATTTATAGCATAGTCTGGCATAGAAGGAACCTTTTCAAGGCCTTCGCGCAAGCGTACGTGAAGTTTTGCACGTAGCCCACCACATCTGGCCAGCTGTTGGCCGCACTAATCCTAGAAACGAGATTACAACTACAACAACACATAGCAAATATTCATAACAAATATTCGTACAAATGTACAAATAAATGCGCAAAATGATTATCTAAATTTTGCTACTGTACGCGAAAGACCACTCGAATACTTGTACTGTGTCGAGGTAAATACGGTACTTTTTTACTAGAGTTGTTACTTTCTCTCAAAATCGCTTTTATACACTATTTACATAAATTTAGCATGTAAATGTGGCCAGATTAAAATATATTGCTAAATGTAAGCTTAATTAGTTGAGCGGACGGACAGAACGACATGCGGTTAGATTTTAGCCGCTTCTTCCTGTTCTGTTACCAACTCAGCGTTTTGGCAATAGTAATAGTTTATTTATTTTTAAATATGTAAATACTATTTTTGTTTAAGAATAAATAACAAATTAGTCAAATTAATTTTAATTAAAAGGCAGCTTGTGTGCAAATACATATGTACATACTTGGTATACATATATGCATACCTATGTCATATAGACACATACAATATATATACATCATGATACGCGTACATTGGTATGTAGTGTGTAAATCTGCCTGGTTTGAGTTTTTTTTATCAAATCTGAATTCTCTTGGTGACCAATTTTTAGTTGTTACTGGTTTACATAATAAAATAAAAGTACAGACACGTGTAAACATACTATGTATGTAGTATGTAGTATATAGAATGTATGTACGTGAATATATAAGACATCAGTTAAATTTCAGTCAGTTCGCTTTCCTAACACTTCTGTCAATTTGGCGGCTTTTGTTTCCACCAGTTTTACAATGTTTCCACGTGACCAAACTTAGCCAAAATTGACGCTTCTCTTGTTTATCATAAATGTGAAAGGTTAATAAATGGTTTAAGTGTTCTTTGAAATTATAAAATATATTAATTAAAATGTACATAAAAAGAGTGCAACTGCACTTATTCGAAACTTGATTCGGAGTATGACAACAAGCTTTTTATTCATACATATGGAATGTATGATAATAAAACAAGAAAAACATTAACTTCGGTTGAATTAAAGCTATAATACCCTTCACAGATAAAAGGTTCCTAAATAACTTGACCCGATCTAATTTCGTGAAGATGCCTCGTCAAATAAAAAGTTTTCCATACAGGCACTTTACTCCGATTGTTCAGTGTGTTGGCATCTATATGCTATAGTGATCCGATATCGGTCGTTCCGGCAAATGAGCAGCTCCTAGTGAGAAAAGGACAGGTGCAAAATTTTAGATCGATAGCTTAAAAACTGAGGACTAGTTTGCATATATACAGACGGCAGACGGACATGGCTAAATCAACTCAGCTCATCATGCTTGATCATTTACTGATGTACCTCTGTTAATATCAAACTGTGGTGTTAGGAATTTTATCCACTTGCAAGTCAGATAAAACGAGTTTTTGTGAATTTTTCAGAAGACGCATTTAATTTAATATTTAAATAACAAGTAATGAAGGGCTAAGTTTGGATGTAGCCGAACATTTTATACTCTCGCAAAGTTAAACGGTATACTCTTTTCTAGATTTCTTTATATATATTAATAATAAGAAGAAGGAACTGTTGCCTCAGTTATTTACTGGCTTGAACAGCTTCGTTTCGATTTAGACAATTTTGGTCATTATGTGGCATACTTTAAACGCATTATTTATGCAAAGTTTTACCCGATGTAATCATGTTGCTTGATTTGCATAGTGGAAAATGAAAGAACCAGATGGAATTAAAATGGTGTTATATGGGAAATAGGCGTGGTTGTAATCCGTTTTCACCCGTTTTCGCAGAAAAGCAAAGAAATATAAGAAGAATGTTATGTACCGAAATTGGTTGAAATCGGTTAAGCATATCCCAAGATATGGGTTTTCACCTAAATGTGGGCGGTGCCACGCCCAGTGTCTAATTTTGAGCGCGGTTAATATAAAGTCATTTTATATCATCAGAGATAAAATTTAATGTCTCTGACGTGTTTAGTGCTTGATTTACCGCGCTTTTAGTAGTTTTAACAATACCGTTATATGGAAAGTGGCCGGGGTCGTCACCCGATTTAACCATTTTCGCGCTGTCGTTAGACGTGCAAGAAACACTTTCAGTGAATTTTGTTATTATAGCTTTAGGCTAGGGAGATATGCACATAAACCTATTAGGGGGCGGACGACGCCCACTTTAAAAAATGTAAACTTCCCTTCCTTACGTGATCCTTATACCAAATAACAGTCTTGTATCTTATTTCGGAACTTAG